TGTGGTATATCCTTCCTTGTTACTCTGCCATTTCCCCTTCAGGAAATACATCACATTTAATCCATCCGTTCTACTATGGATGACATTTGCATTGTTCCTGGATTGAAATGACTGATGCGGGAACCCTTTCTGAAACAGGCATGACTGTCCTCCTGAGAAGCCACCGTTGCCTCAGGAGCAGAGGCTGACATGAGATGCTGGTGTTCTGGGTGCACTACTGTTCTCAGGGCCCCTCTCTAAACGTGCTGATGAGGCAGGATCAGCCCCATACTCCACCCAGGCTCCTCTCTGCATTTCCTTCTACGCACGCCCACCGTGAGCCGGCCAGCCTTCCTCGATCTCACCTGCTCTATTTGTCACTGGAAATGCTCAAAACTTTTGCCATTGTGATGCACTCTGCCCTAAGTTCACCCACCAACAGATCTTCTCCACTTTTCTCCTTTTCCTTTATTTCTAAGATTATCTGAGATGGGAGGAGTTAAAATTTGAAAGCAGATTACTGTCTCAAACTGTCCTTCTGCAGCCCCAAAGTGACTCTACACTGTCCGCTTTCCGTCGGGTGGATTTTCACATTTACTTCTCAGAGGGCAAACTTTCAGTTTCCGTCATTGTGCTTGACAGATGCGTCAGTGTCACCCGGTCAATGACACTGATGCACGTAATTAGCTGTAATGCTGGTGGTCCGGTCTCAACACAATGTCTTACTTAGGGGAACACCATCCAACAACCAAAGATTTTGCCTTTGTTTTCTTTTTTTTTAAGATGATGGCTTTCTTTATCCACTTCTCACATACATGATAGTTGCTCCTAGACCTTTTTCTCCCAAAGTCCCCCAAATACTCCTGGTGCCTGCCTTGCCCTTGTGCATTTCTTCTTCCCTCCCACTGTTTCTTCATCTTTTCTCGTAAGATTGCATCTCGAGAAAAGACCAAAGAAAAGAAAGGAAAGACGAGGAAGAAACAGACTTCCTGCAGAGAGGGGGCTGGACAGCTGAGACGCTCGACCACGGAGCTGGAAACACACCTAGATGAGACACCTGGGTGATTAAGCATCTGACTCTTGCTTTTGGCTCAGGCCATGATCTCATTGTTTGTGAGTTCAAGCCTCACATCGAGCTCTATGCTGACAACACAGAGCCTGCCTAGGATTCTCTCTCTCTCTCTCTCTCTCTCTCTCTCTCTAAGCCCCTCCTCCACTCTCTCTGTCTTTCAAAATAAATAAACTTTAAAAATTAAAGAAAAAAAGAGGCACACCTAGACTCCACGTGTTTGCATCTTAGCTTTGCCACTTAGCAGCAGTGGGACTTCAAGGAAATTGTCCCACTACTTGATTTCCTCCTCTGCCAGGTGATGATAATTGTAGCTCCTGCCTTGCAAGACCGTTGTGAGGAGGACACAAGTTTACACACGCAATACCTCTGGAAGAGTGCCTGGTGTGTGTCATGAACAAGATGATCGGTGTGCAGAAGATAGTGCCCTACACTCCCAGCGCATCGAGAAGGGTCTCACATATGCTAGGGCTCAAAAAGTGTTCATTGAATGAACCTCGTTGGTTTGTTATCTTGTCTGTGAGGGTTGCGTTAGTGGAAATGTCTGCACCTCCAATTCTACAACCTCATTTTTGTGCCATCATAAATCATGCCCCAACAGAAAGAAAAAAAAATCTTGCAAAAGTTGTAAATGGCTTTCATCACATCTCGTTTGTGCCCATATCCCGTTGTGTTGTTTCAAGCCTTCGAAAACACAAAGGAAATGAAAGGGGCCTCTGTTTTCCCCTTGCACAAAGAGCTGCCCGTAAAAACCACATAACAATGCCACTTTACAAAGTGGCTCCCCATGGCCCAGGAGGTTGATGGGCAAGCCAGTCCCGCCGCCACACGATGGTAAATACATTCACACAAATGTCCTGGCTGAACCCATCAAGCCTGAAAAGCTATGAAAAACCCATTAAAAAGGGATAGAGAGGAAACTTCAGCCAAATTAAAAAGCTTCTGACTGCAGGGACAAGCAAGCATCTGTGTTGCTGGAGCCAGGAAAGTGGGAGACCTTGGAGTCAGGCTGCAGGCACCAGAGAGAGGATAAAACGGAACAGAGGAGACACCAAAGCATGGCCTGGAGGGGGCCCCAGGGCAACCCCGAGCCAGGAGAGTCCACAGCTGGATTTAAAGGTGAGGTACAAGCCAAGAGCCCTGGGGACCTGATGTGGGGAACTTGGGTGTCAGAGGCGCAGTTCTCCAGAACCTCATGAACCCACAGGGGCATTTCAGGCTCAAAGAAGAAATCCGTCTCAGAAGTAGGTTCATGTCATGGACACCTCAAGTTCATCTGCACGTGCCCTGTGCCTGTCCCTTACCCCGAGTTCACCAGAGGTCTGAGCATTTGGGGCCTACTGGCTCTCCCACACCGTGTCCCTCCATCAACAACTAAGTCTCACTGATGTTCAGCCCTAACATGGCGCTGAGATCAAAGGAGACCCAGGCTGCATCCATTTATTCATCAAGCATTGTCATTTAGCTGCAAAAGAATTCAAAACCAAACCAAAACCAAAACCTGATTTTTTTTTTTAAAGTTCAATGGCTGACAGTCTCTGAAGGCATGCCAGGGGGCTTCACAGAGTCCAGCTTCTGTACCAGCCTGACCTCATTTGGACGCAAACCCGCATGATGTAAAATATCTCCAGATAATGTTTGTGCTTTTCTGTGAGGATCTGTCTTATTAGTTCTCAACTAAACACATGTGTAAACACATTGAAGTAAGTCACATACAGTACATCACTGAAAATACATGAATTATGGGACCTCTGATGATTCTTTCAACATTGAAGTAGAGCAATGGAACGACCTTTATCTGATCCAGAGAAAGCCACAATCTGTCTACCATTGATTGCTTAAATACATTCTGCACTTTTCAAGGACAATCATTGAAGGAGGCAGTCACATATAAGATTTCCAAGAAGTTAAGGGGGGAAGTATTGGTGCCAGGTCCTTCCTCCTCAAATAACGGTCAGGCTGTGTAGCACTGAGGTATGGTGGGCAGTGGAGGGGGTGAGCCACATGGGCTAATCAAAAAAGGAAAGATAAAGAGGTTCAAAGAGCTCACACTGAAATAAAGAAATTCGTGTTGCCTTAAATACAATTTGTGTTAGTTACATTTCAATTCTTAATTTATACATAGCGGGGTTGATAAAGAATTACATTATAACAAAATTAGCCAGAATAATTAGCATAGTGTATGTGCTACTGATTAAACACCCAGCAGATAGCTTGGTAATTAAGATCAGCAAGTGCCATATTTTGAGGTTTTGTCATCTTATTATCTGCCTAACAAGTGCTTCATCTTTACCTCCCTTCTGATTTGAAGTTTGGTAGCAATCTCTGATAATTCTCAGGTTTTCTCTTTAAGTCCCCTTACCCAAATTCCAATAATTTTCCTATGGCCGCTTTTAACCTCCTTTGCTTTGTATTAACACAAATGGTGTTAAATTTCTTTGTAAACGTAAGGCGTTTGAGGCTGCCAAGCATTTGTGCTTGCAGATTCAGGTTCAAAAATCTATCTCAAAACCCACAAGTCTTTGGATGGAGAAGGAGCCAGAGGCCAACCACACTCTCTGCAGCTTGCTCAGACATCTGAACTGAAGACTTATCCATTGAGTGAGGATCTTGCTTCCAGGCAAAGTCCATTGCCAGGGATTTCCAGGATGTCTCCATCAGGGTTCATTTTCAGTCCCTGTGATACTAGATGGCAGTTCCTCGAGTGGCCATGACTCCTTCCTCATTGAGGACTCCAGCCCACAATGCCACTGCTCCCTGGTTGAGCTGCTCCCTCAACACACAGTGAGATTTTATCATGGAAGGCAAGAGTTCAATTGCCAAAGACCAGAAGGCTCGGAGGACTCATCCACATTCTTTATTACAGGCTGAGCCACTTCTGCTCCTTCTCTTCAGATTATCAGGACATGTCCGCGATTTTAAATGGAGAGTGAACATGCTACCTACATCAACCAGGAACACTTTCAGCTGCAAACCACTGAAAACTCATGAACAGTGCTTCAGGAATTGAGACAGAAAGTCCGGTGATTGGTGGCCCAGAGCTGAGGCAAAGGTTCAGAAATGTCATCGAGAAGCCATCTCTTCCTCTCCTTCTGTTCCATTCTCCTCAATTGATCCTTCATCTCATGACTATCTCCTGGCTGTAAGATGGCGGCCATGTCTCCACACATCATATCCATGTTCAAGGAAAGAAGGAAAGGGGAGCGCCAGCCACTACTTCTTTCAATCAGTTTTAGGATAGAATCTCACTTTTGCTAAAAGAAGAATGACATTGTTCAACAGTGCCTTGAGTGTTTTCTTTTTAAAAAGTGTCCTTTTGAGCACCTGGATGACTCAGTCAGTTAAGCATCTGACTTCAGCTCAGGTCATGATCTCACAATTGGTGGGTTCCAGCCCCTCATTGGGCTCTGTGCTGACAGCTCAGAGCCTGGAGCCTGTTTCAGATTCTGTGTCTCCCTCTCTCTCTCTCTACCCCTCCTCCACTTGCACTCTCACACTCTCTCTCTAAGAAATAAATAAACATTTAAAAAAATTTAAATAGTGTCCCTTTCCAGTTGTCAGGATGAGCACTGGGTGTTGTAAGTATTGAATCATGGGAATCTACCCCCAAAACCAAAAGCACACTGTATATACTGTATGTTAGCCAATGTGACAATAAATTATATTAAAAAATAAAATAAAAATAAAATAGCATCTCTTCTTCTTCTCCCCCCACTTACCAACATGTCTACTGCCCCATCTCTAGAATAATCCTTAACTGAGGCCTTCGGGAAGACTGATTCCCATCGCCCTGTGAAGGAAGAGGCTGCCAGCCAATGACCCTCCCCAGCCGCTGTAACGGGAGCCAGGTTTGTTCTATTTATAGCAATGCCACAGTCCTCTGCAAACAGCTGTTACCCTTGGACTCAGTTGAGAAGAAGAGAAGTTTGGTCAATACGCAAACAACACAACAATGGCCAACTCTGATCGCCTTCCTGATTACCCACTCGACTCAGATTTAGTGAAGAGATTAAAGTCTGCTCTGGACACCAAGGATGAGGAGAGAGTGAGCCACCTGATCTGTGCTGAAGTGAGGCCCGTGGACGCCGTGATAGAATTGGCCAATGACGACTGGATGAAAGACCCCTCGGCCCAGCTGCCCCCCAGCGTTCTCATAGGTAACCAGAATGCATCTGAAACTAAATTACACGTCATGAGCACGTGGGAGGGCTGGGCTTGGAGAAGGCACGTGATCTCTGCTTGGCTGTCTGTTTCTTGTTGATACACATACACACATGCTGGGCATACTGTGTGTATCCGTGTGTGTTGCTATACATCAATTAGCACACAATTCAAAGGATTTAAAAAGAGGAAACGTATCCATGGCACCCCCATCTTCACAGGGCACCTGTTTTCATCTTGCACTTACTTTGCATATGTAAATTTCCTCTACTTACAACTATGTTGTAGATGTGATCTTGTGTTCTGCTCTGTTGAGTTAATATATCTAAAGTATTTTCTATGGTGCTACATAGTCTTAATTTCCATCACCTATTGAGGTGATTAATCACAAAATATTAAACCAAATGCCTACAAGAGAGGAATATTTGCTTACATTTTCACTACTATCAATAATGCTGTAATTAGCATCTTTATTAGCATTCATATGGCTTTTTTCTTATTCAGGTTATATCCTTAAAATAAATTCCTAGGAGCAGTATTACTGGAATGAGGACAGAAAAATCACCAAATTATTTTCTGAAAGGTTTTCTACTCCCCCTGACAAGGAGTGTGTGCATTTCACTGCTCCCTGAGCATTGCTGGTGATGAATATCTATCCTTAAGTCACCAACAGAAGAGTGCCCTGGTCATGGCCACAGCCTGCCTGCCCATCCTTTCTTTACTGCTCAGGACAAAGTCTTTTCCATAGGGTTTTGTTTTTCTTTGTAGACTCCTTCCCATGTGATTTGTCTATTCAGGTCCTTGGGTGAATTCTCCCTATTTCTTTGTATTTTTTCCCGTCATTTCATGGAACTTCTTTGTATAACATATGAGAATATGTTCCCTCATGCAAGATTTTCCCTCATGCAAGATTTAATTGCATGGTGCTGTGTTCTGCCTTGTCAGATACACTTGGCCCCTGTAAGATCTACCAAGCTTTCCTCCACCCACTAGACATAGTCCCTCCCAACACACACGTGTGCGTGCACACACATGTACATGTGCACATGCACACATCCACGGGCACACACGCATGCACGCACATTCACACATGCAGGAAGTATACCGAAAGGGAGCATGTGGGAGACATTGGTGCCAAACAATGGGACTGTCATGTGATATGGAGGAAGATCCATATTGGAACGCAAGGGGGTGACCCCCGTCCACTCCCTCATGGCGTGGGGGAGGTGTACTCCCAGGTGTACTCCCAGGTGTACTGCCTTTCACTGGGGACCTAAGCAAGCTGCTTTAGGCTTTAGAGAGAAACTATCTCCTACGTCCTCTTTTCCTTGGTTTTCCTACTATCTAAGGCCATGGTCAGGGCCAGAGCGAGGCCTCAGGAGCCACAAGCCCAAAGAACAACACATTTTTGTTCTGACCTTAGCTTTATACAGACAGCTGCTGAGGCCTCTCAGCAAGCCAGCGCCCTGTACGCTCACCAGTGCAGGAGATTGTCCTGGGGTGTGGGGAGGGGATCTTGTGATCATAACCTACTGTTTGGCCTGGAGCTTTGAGCTCTGTGCTTTGCATTTGTCCTCCAGACACCAACACCCCCACCCACCCTCCCACCCCCCCCACCCCCACCCCCCACACACAGCCTGACCTTATGAACTATATACCTGCCACATGCTCTCTGACTCCTGTTGGGTGCAGCTAATGGAAGGTACTAGAAGAGCCAGGAAGGTGGGCACTTGCTTCCAGAGGCCCCCTCCCTGACAGATCTCTGATGTGATTTGGCTTCATCTTTATGCTGAAGGCTCAACTCCCAAGAATGGGGGTTCCCATTTCGGCTGTGGCCACCTCTAACTGACTTCCCCGAACCCTGTCTACATTTGTTACACTGATGGTCACGTCATCTGTTTCCTGCTGTGCTTAAAGGCACGTGCCACACCCCTCCACATCCGTTTTACCAAGCCATCATAGCTGCTTGGGGACCTGTGTATTTGCAATCCCCAATTTAAAATATTATTCCTTTCACATTCATAATTGCCCTACACAATCTTCACTGTCCATCCCCCACTCCGACTTGGCTGAACACTTGAAAGCAATGAAATTTGTGTTAGGAGAATTTCCTTCTTTCCCACAATGAACCCACTGCATTCTATATCATACATGTATCTACTTCTCCCCGCCAAACGGCACCTTTCAGAAGGGCAAGAACAGTTCCTTGCTGATGACATATTTTAAGGACTTGGATGAGCCCTGGATTGTTTTCATTTCAAGATGATAGCACACTGAATGATTCAGTGTGTGATCCCAAGGCACATCTTGCTACCAGTGACTCTATTATAGGGAAGCAGGCTGGCCTTGAACCTGAAGGCAGACGGTGCAGCACGTTCAGACTTGTATTCTGGGTATGTCACTCTGGACACAATGTAAAAGCAGGATTTGAAGGAAACGAGAAAGGGGAGGAGGTGACTGAAGGCAGTTTCCTTCCAGGTGAGAGATGACAGGGTCTAAACCAAGAGGGCAGGATAGACACAAAGATAGATGACAAATAGGGGAACTGTTGGTGGGTCCGTGGGAAGGTCCTGGTGACGAGTAGAAGCTAGTGTCACCAGCCAAAACCAAAAACAGAGGGACCTGATTGTCACAATGTGCTGGCCTTGTGCTGTGTGCCTGGCAGTATGGAGAGTGGAGAATGTAAACAGAAGTAACACATGTGACCGCCTCCCAGGCTCGCCGCCCTCCCACGGGGTGCTTCTCAGGGGTCTGGAGAAGCTCCTGCCATGGAGTGGGATACTCCAGATGGAAGCTTGGGGTCTGCCACCGACGACCTGTGTGACCTTGAGAAAGTTGCTCTCCTTTTCTGGGCCAGTGCCTTTACTTAGTAGCTCATACATGAGATTCCATTAAGGCTTCCCAAACAGAGGTCCATGATGGAATGAGCTTGAGAGATGCTTGTCGAATCACATGCTCTGGGATTGGCACAATGGTTTGTGAAAGGCTCCGTGTGGTTTTGCCACTAGGGTAATTGGAGCTTGTAGATGTTTTTTGGTAAGCTCCGGCTTGGATCAGTGTTGAGGGCCTGTCCATCTCCATGCTCCTCTGAGGCTATTGTCGCAAAGATTCATTGTGGCCGCCCGAAATGGCACGCGGGTTCCTTTTTGCTGAGTGTGGGAACAAATGGGTTCTTTCTCAAGGTAACTGTGAGTCCTTGGGGACCATCCTTGGTGGGAACAAGAGCTTTTGGATTCAAATACGCATGCGGGGTCTTTAGAATCCTTGAAGAGTGGCCAGAACTTATGGCAATACTTTGAAATGCAGCCCATACCGGGAATGAATACTGTGAAAATTTTAAATTTTTAAATAAAAAAAAAAAAGGGAAGGAAGATGAAAACAAAAAACAGGGTTGCAGCCAGCAGGGGTCAGAGCCAGGAATGCTCACTGAGGCCCAGAGAGGCAGGAGCCATGCACAATCTGGCCAAAGTATCTGGGGAAGATGGGGAAAGTTTCCACCCCAAGGACAACTTTGGTTGGCAGGTTTTTGAGCATTTGGCTCCAAGATGACAGTTGGCCAAAAATAAGAAAAAGTAATCGTTTTCTCTGCTTGTCGACACGAAACACAAGGACCTTGTGTCTGTCAGTGAAATCCCCATGTTTGTTGCTCTGTGAACTTGTTATTTCACCAAATGGAACAGAAAAAAAAATAACTTATTTCGATGCCTCTATCTCAGTGTCACAATAAGTTTCTCACCAGCTGAGAAAATGGTGGGAAGGGCTTCTTCTGGAGAAGTCTCCCCAGGTGTACGTGTCCCCTCTTAAGAAGGACAAAAATCAGAGGAACTTGAAATTTTAGCCCCAGCCGATCATGGGGCAAAGTGAAGAACGTATCCTCCCTGCGTGGCCCACAGAGAGGCAGGGGAACTATCATTGACTGGGATTCTCCTGAAGACACAATGTACCTGTGCCCTCCCAGAGCCACCTGCACCCCTGCACTGATGGACTTGGGATGGAGCACAGTCTGTCTGTCCATCTCTCTCTCTCTCTCTCTCTCTGTGTGTATGTGTGTGAGCGCGCATGCGTGTGTGTATGTGTGTGTGTGTGTGTGAGAGAGAGAGAGAGAGAGAGAGAGAGAGAGAGAAACTGAACAGGGCTGAGCACACAGCTCACCCATAGTCAGCTCCAAACACCCCATTCCAGAAGGAACCTCCCTACCAGGCCTGCACCCAAATTCTGAGGCACATGAGGACCTCCTCTGCTCCCCTAAGCCACCCCTTCCTTCCAGATCCTGCACGGCAGATGGCCTCCGCCAGAAGGCCAGCCCTGCCCACCTGGCCCACAGCCTCCCAATCTCTCCACAGCGGCACAATGCCCTCAGTCTCCATTAGAAACCCGTGGCCTTGCTGGGCTAATTGTTATACACACCCAATATTTCAGACTTAAAAGCAACTCCTCAGGAGTGAGAACCAGTCTTACACTTGGTACCCAGAGCCAGTACAAGGTCTTTGCACCGAGGAGCCCAAATTCTGAGTGTCGTGCCTGGTATGGGCAGGCCGAGCTCCTTTGCCGACAATGAGGTGGGAGGGCACAGATTGCCTTCCCACAAATACTATTGGGGTTACTCCTTCTGCAAAGAAATATTTAATTCTACTCTCTGCTAAGACCAAGTCTCTACTATTTAATATTAGTGACAATTGTGTTATTTGCCCTTGCGCCTTTTCAATGCCTATGAGCTCCCTAACCACCGAGAACATGGGAAGGAAGAAAGGTTGGCTGGGGGCGGGGTGGTGAGACCCTTCTTGCCCCCAAATGCATCAACGGTACAATTTGGTAACTGGCGTAATCAAACTACTTAAGAAACAACTGATTACTAATTGCTATTATTAAGGATGTCAGCATTCCGTGATTTTGCTGCTGATATATCATATACAAGTCAAGATGCTACTTGAATTCTTGATTGAAACAGAAAACTAGAGGCATTATGTTGTGTTTGGGGTAATGGTATTTAAGCATCTGGAGGCAAGTTAAAGAAATACTAATTGGGTTTTTATTAAGAGATCGCGCCCAGCAGCATGTATAGGTGGAGCATGAGTGTGGGGAGCGTGTGCTAGGCATGTGCGTACACGTGAAGGTGGGGCTGTTTGGGGAATGCAACCTCTCATCCAACCAGCACCCCTGCAGGCTTGACACTGAGTTCACCATCACACGAGGACCACATCCACCGCTCCTTCCCTATGCGTGGAGGAGAACATCACCCAGGGCAAACCGGACAGTCACATAACCGTCTGGTAAATGAGCACAGCCCCTCCCTTATAGGCATATTCGAACTAATGACAGGAGCGTGCAAACTGCTGGTGGCCCTGAGATGTGATGCAGTGGGAGCGGCAAGAGACTCACAGCGAGGTGACCTGGGCTCTTGCCCCAGTTCCACCACTGCTCATGTGATCTTGAACTTGTCAGGCTGTCTCTCTGAACCTCAATATGCTCATTTTATTTTTTTTAATTTATTTATTTATTTTGAGAGACAGAGAGTATGGGAGAGGGGAGAGAGTGAGGAAGAGAGAGAATCCCAAGCACAGAGCCTGACAAGAGGCCCGAACCCACAAACCGTGAGATTGTGACCTGAGTCGAAATCAAGAGTCGGATCCTTAACTGACTGAGCCACCCACACACCCCTTAATATCCCCATTTTTTAAAAAATGGGATTGGTCAGGTCATCTCTTAGGGTCTTTATAAATTGGACTCACTAAGATTTCAAGGCCAATGACCCGTGTTTCTGGAAGAGATGAACAAAACTCCATTGCCTTCGAAGTGTAGTGCATCCAAACCGAGGTCTGTGCAGACCAGGCCCTCCCTTCAAAGGGATGGCTGACTCCACGTCAACCAGGGAGGTGAGACATCTCCTGGAAGGCTGGTGGGAGACTGGTTAATGAACTTGAATTCACCAAATAAGCAGCAGCCTGGCACAGGGCCTGTCTTGTTCTAATTTTCAGACAAAATAGCCCCCAAACCAGAACATGTCACAACTAGAACCAGACCTCCATGGAGGCAGAGAGAGAGGAATCACAGGTGGGAAGGACCTTCACCTGTTTCCCCAGGGCTGATCTTTCCCGCTTACCCCGCTGAGGGAAAAAAAGACTCTAAGAAGTTGAACTTCACCCCTGGGGTCCCACAGCTGGTAGAAAGTGTAAATCCAATTCTCTTCCTGGTCTTCCACAATGCCCGTAGCTGCACTTTACAGATGGGGACACTGAGGCTCACATTTGTTCTTTAACTGGCCAATAGCCAGTTAGCAGAGGTGTGTAAACCAGTATGTTTCCCAACTTTAATCAAAGGAGGTTGATGCCTACCCACCCAGACCCATATTGTAGGAAGATCCATGAGAAAATTTCCCCACTGAAGCAGTGTACAACCCTTTGACACTACCTTACACACACACACACACGCGCGCAAACACACACACCCCACGTCAATAGCATAGAGATTTTGACTTTAAATAATACAATTAAGAGTATTAAGGAAAAACACGGATGAACGAGTGAGGTGCTCGAGTGCAAAACAGAAACAGAAATGGGAAGCAGGAGGTCAGCAGCGACAGGAAAGGAGAGCGAGGAAAGAGCTCCGCCATCTCAGCTGCACACCCTGAACCCTGAGCAGAGAACGTGGGGGCAGGGAGACCCTGCTCGAAGCAAAATGAAATTAAACCTTTCTAAGTACTTATAAATCAGCACCTAATGACACTATCCCACCACCAGCCGGAGCATTGCTCTTATTACTTTGATTCACAAGCCAGGAAAAGATCCGGAATTATGCACAAATTATTGTCCCATCTTCTTAATTAACACTGATTGCAAAATTCTTGCTAAAGTCCTTGCTAACAGACTCAATTATGTGCTGCCTGAATTGATTCACCCAGATCAAGTGGAATTTATTAGAAATACACTTTCCTACAATAACATCAGATTATCTTTGAATATAGTTAAATTATTTAGGAATAAAATGGTTCCAGCATCAGCCTTCGCTTCAGATGCAAAAAATCTCTCCCCCACCACCTAGAATAAAGACATTTATTTGTTTTCAATGAGACACATACCCTATGTTCTTTTCTTTCCCAAAAGAGGTCGAATCACTGTGAGGAGATGAGATGCATGCCTTAGAGCTAATAGGCCAGCTTCACGGCATACAGGGCATAAAGAAAAATCTTAACAGGGTGATGTCTCAGCTCCCCCCCTCCCCCAGTATGAATTGTCACTGCCTGTGGAACACAGTGAAATTGCAATTAGACTAAATCAGGATATTTTCAGAATCAAAATTGAGAAACAGGCTAATAAAGAAATAATGTATGCTGATGACATACTTCTATTAGCATCACTCCCAAGCACACTGGAGAGTTTTGAAGGAACAAAAAAGAAATGAGGATGATAGCAAAGAGGTTTTTCTCCTTCCCAGGACGATGATGGCTCCTGCAATGGTGTGCTCTGCTGATAAAAATCTTCCTCAGGCACTCACTGGAAGTGGCAAACATACTACCTGTAGCCTGGTGTTACCTCCCAGCCCCATTGTCCATCATCTTCTAATACCAAATTCAGCAACTGGATATGAACAGGGACTGGGTTTGTCCTATTCACCAGAACCCAGCACACAGTAGGCACATAATATTAACAGACTAAATAGCACAGGGAGGACACTAAAATTCTCTTGGGTTGGCCCTTGATAGATGAACACGTTCTTAACAGGCTGCAATTGAAAGAAATGCAATCCAAATAAAGGGAGTAGCAAGAGCAACCGTGGAGCAGACAGGGGCGTGCTGCCTTGTGCAAGGAAGAGAGACCCATCTGAAAATGAGAGTGTGTATACCAGAGCGGAGGGAGGGAGTCCAGGCAAGTACACTGGGAGAGGATTCCATAAGGCCACAAATCCTTGACATAGGTCTTTACACTTATCCAGAAAGGCAGTGAGGATCCATTCAGCAGTGGAAGGAGATCCTCTCATTTGAAAAACAAAACAAAAACTCTTTTATATAAGACAGACGGAGGTGGAGAGACATGTCTCAAGAAGGTGCCTCCTTCTTTACTAATTGAGTCCCCAAGGCAATACAACTCTTCCCGCCTCCCTTGAAGCTTGTGTTGACCTTGTTTTAGTCAACAGTGGGCTTCACAGAAGACCCGAGGTGACTGAAGAGAGTCCATCAATTTGAAAATAGGTCAATG